TCACAATCATAAGCTGTTATAAATCATGGTATTCTTACAGTTTTCAGTCCAACCAGTATGACTTCTTTAATGCTCCTAAAGACACTTCCCAAAAATGCGAAGTGATAGTTTTCATAAAAAAGTATTAGCACCTGATTTTATAGCTGCTAGATAGTAATACGGAGCTCAGTTTCTCTCAATGAAAACAATTGTCTTAAATTTATTGGGCTAAGGATTTTCTAGTAGCAAGTTATTTTCTCATTTCATTTAAATGCAGGAATAAAATGAAAGATTATAAATGCATTAATAAAACATGTCTGGATTCCAAAATATTCACTAAATGCAATACAACATTGACATCTAACACTAAAAATGAAATCAACTGTAAGAAAAAAAAACAGGACAACCATAGAAGTGAGCAGTTTATCACCTTGCACAACAAAGCCCCTGGCTGATGGCCTTCAGGGTGATGTGGTCCAATGTGCACTGCTCAAACACCCTGCCATTAGCCACCAGTAAAGTGAAGAAATGTCAGTGCAGCATTTAGGCCAAGAAAGACCCCCTTTTCCAGTATCACCCTTAAGTCATTGTAGGACTGACCTTGAACAACTGATGACTCCTTTTTCTATTATTCACTATTCTCGTACTTGCTTCTAGAAAATGGTTTTCAGTCCCTTCCAAGCTTTTTCTCATACAGAGAATAGTCATTGCACTCCATTTCCCACAGCCTAATTTAAAGTGAGGAAAGCTAAAGTGTTGCAGTAAAATAGTAACTGACCTTGTTTACACAAAAACATATTTTGATTCAGTATTAAAGTATCCCATAAATAAACTATTTCCTCCACAGTCCTAGACAAGCATGTATCTCAGTACTGGTTAAAACCAGAATAATAAACATTCTGTACTCAAAGAACATTTATATGCCCAAGTGAAATATATATGTATGTACTCTTCTAGATTTTTACACCAAACTCAGCAAGTCAGATATTTCTCTGTAGCTTTCTACCATTTCACTGTTGACTGTAAATAAACCTGGTGTATTTAATAGCTCAATATCCTCTGCCTTTAGGTAAACATATGTAGGGTATTCTAGTCTTGATTTATGCATTAGTATTAAAAGCAATTCAATTTAGCATGCTGCAATAAGAGAGGATGTACAGGCCTTTTAAAGGGTAGCAGCTGAAAGGTCATCAACAAAAAAGAAAGAATTACATCTTTCTCACAGTCCCTTTTTTTATTTTTGAAGGAAGAACCCAGAAATTACTGGCTTCTTAGTGTGTTTGCCCATATTGTCACCTTTCATTCTAAGAACTGATTGAATTGTTTAAAAATTGACTATTTGAGAAAACAAAAATCTTCTCTTAAACTATTAAAAAAAATAGATGTGATATAAAAATTTAAATGCAGTAATTTACATTATTAGTCACCTCTGCCAGCCAATCACATTATTTTCATTATAAGTGGTACGAGTTGCAGAAAGTAGGATTTCTACAGACTATGTAGTGGCAGAAAACAAATTTCAGTGTCTATACCCTCTTCAAGAAGGTATCCTACCTGGAAACACCAGATATTGAAATAATAGGCTTTTGTTAGAAGAAATACATTGAATGGACTTTTTGTTAGGACTTTCATCAGAAAGCAGAAAAGCTAGCACAGAAAAACAGAATCAAATACAATGTATTTGTTCACAGAAGTAGAAAAGAAACACATTGTAATTTCCAGTGGCTGTTATTTGCCCAGCTCATCCTCCAGAATGATATAATTCTTCTTTTAAATAGGATGAACTATGACAAATTCCATGCTCTACTTATTCTGTTTCCTCATTTCTAAGTAGAGTTCAGCTATCATAAAGATGATTCGTCTCCATGTGATCCATCAAATCATCATGTTCTTTTGTATTGCTTTTCCTGTTGATCCCTAGTATTGAAAACTCAAGGACTATATGGAGGATGCTCTTCAATGGAGCATCAATAGCCTGAGAAGCCACCTTCTTCACTACTAGCTTGGCTTGATCAGGGAGTAAGAAGAAACCACCAACCTGTTTGCTTAAACCTTGGTTTCTTTCTAGGCCACATTACTGGATTTCCTTTGTTTCTTTAAAGAATACCAATCTTTTTTGCACAATATTTTGAATATGAGAGATTACTGACGTGCTGAGGTCATGTCTTCCCTCTGACAAGATTCTCTAAATGTCAACCACCAGCTGAGCCCTATTTAACTATCATTCTTCTAGTCTCAGAAGAATGTCTGTTCCTAAATATTAGCACTTGATTTTCAGCCAGGTTATGAATCTTATTTCTGTTTTCAAGAAGGTAAAACAGGAGATGATAACAAGAAGACTTCCCATCTCTAAATATCTCAATAGTACTGTAATAAACACAGGCTGTGTAGGAACAGTTACTACAATTGTACTGTTGTTCCCTAATGAGGAATATGTACGCTCCAGGATGAGATAGATAAACATGCTAAATCAAACTTCTCTTTCTCCCGTCTTTTTCCTCTTTCTTCCCTAAATCAATAATATCAACTCTGTTATCGCTAACAGAAATTGCCAAACTGCTTGTACATAAGAAAAAATTCCACTCCTCTATATGCCTACACAAAAAGAATATTTGTAAAAATAAGATCTAGGAGGTTTTTTGTTTGTGGTTTAGGGATGACATTTATGTGAATGAAAGAAAATAAAACAGTAGGCCACAGTCGTGGTAGAATGTGGCAGCAGTGCACATTCTATAGATGACAGAGTTGCACAGACCTGGGGTTTCTCTTTCTCTGCCCCCACACAGCTGCTTTCACTAGCTTTCAGATGCCCTATGGAGCCTTTACCAGCAGATACAATTAATAAACCTGTATTTTCAGAGTATTCTCAGATTCTGCATTTCTGCGTTTATCTACTTCACTCTGAAGTTTCCATATTTTCTAGAATCTTAGCTTCATTCACTACTAACTGATAACGCATCCTATTGAATGCATCAAATAACATTAGAATCCCAACTTGGGAAATGCTGCTCCAGTCCCAACTGACAACATACCATCAGTATATTAGCTAGAAAATTACCCTGTCAGCAAGGAAAATGTCACATTTTTAATATAGCACTAATCATCAGCTAAGTCAATAAGCTGAGTTTGAAAAAGTTTAGCAAGAGCCACAGAACAGCCACCAGCTTCAATTTTCTTCTCTGTCCCTGTTAGCCACTCCAAGTGTCCTCACAGCCTGGATTTTCAGCACATGTTAGATTCAATATACTTTTGATGAATTCCTGTAAATGTCCAGTTTTTATGCTCCAGTATTCTCAAATATTCCTGCTTCCAAGAAAACCAAATTTATAACATGAGAGGAGGTTGCATATTTCTGGCACATGCAGTTGTGCAGATGTTATTCCTTAAGGAAGACTATCTTGATTGCCTCCGTGAATAATGGCTACAAGATGGCAAGGAGCCAACAGTTCTCTTATAGCAGAAGGTATAAAACCACTCTCCTACTGAAAGAAGGCCCCCAGTAGGATAATATATTATTACGCATGATTCAAATTACAGGATCTGCAGCAGGGGAGCTAGTGGCTGAATCAGGACAGCCGCACACAGAATACTGATGATGGGATGATGGAATGCATCATGCATTGAAAGAGCTATGGTTTAGTGTTTAAATTCTCTGTATTTTCAAAGTGACTACAAGGATCAATATATAACTGAAGCTCCATAAACAAATTGTACGTTACTGTGTGCGTTGAGCAGGGAAGTTACCACATTGTAACAAAAATTCTATTTAAGTATACTTCTTTAAATAGAATGTTGCTTTACCAAAGACTGTTGACCTCTTGAAGCCCACTAGCAATAGATATAGCTTTAATTTAATAACACAATATTGAATTTGTCTCATATCTGATTCAGTTTCAGCTATTAGAATACTGAAGAGCAAAACCTTGCCTCATTAGATTATGCGGTCTGAAATCTCTGCATTCCACAGTATTCTGGGCTGGTTTTAAATTGTTCGCACAACAAATTACTTTACCCACAAAGAACTAAATCCAAATGTTCAACACAATGTTGGCTTGCCCAAATGTTTTCCATTTATAATTGAACACATCTCAAGAAAATGTGAATGTTTATTATTTAAAAAAAACACCAAACCTATTCCCTAATATGAAAAGCTGGCTAGAGAATAGTTTTTCAAGCTAAAATCTAATCTTTTCTGTGTAGATTAAGCACATCCTAAGTAAAAAGAGAAATAGCTAAAAAAAAAAATTCTATATTTCGCTTTGCTGCAACATACCCTGAAGCAGTATGCAAGCTCTCCCTTGACTTCCTTTCATACTGGCTCTTGTATTCAGTTATTCTGGTAAATGGATGCAAATCAGGTGCATTGTGTTGAGGTGGAAGGAAGGGGGTGAAATTTGTTCAGAAATGATCTCAGTTCTATTCATTAATAAAATGACATCTTGGCTGAAAGTGGTGAAGAATGAAATATAACAGTACTGAACTTCACTCAGTTGTAACAGATGCATGTAAGAACCTTTAGAGAAAGCCAGATATGTAAAACGGCCACAGCAAAATGATTTCTGAAGCATTAGAATAAGTACTTAGACCGTGATGGCAGCTAAAGATGCAAACTCGATGCTGCAGCAACACCCTTTTTACCTTCCAAGATGGGTAAAGGTAATCTCAGACTATAACTGGAGGAAGCAGTACCACATTAGGTAAGGACTACAAGAAGACAAACATATATGAAAGAAAAATATATGCACATATTAACAATAAAAGACTTTTAAAGGTTTTATGGGGCCAACAGAAAAAAAAAAAATGGAACAATGCCCATGGTTACCTGCAGAGACAGCACACAGTTTAAAAAAAAAAAAAAAAACAGGAAAAATGTAGCCACCGTTTTGCATAGCGATTCAAATTATGCTGGCAGAATAATTAATGGAGGACCTAATCTCTGTGAGGGAAAAAAAAAAAAAAGAAAAGAAAAAAGGATACGTTAAACAAAGTTCATTACTGCATGATGTAAATGAGTTTCTCACCAGTGATGTCACTGATTGGCTGGGATGTAGAGCTGGTTTCGAACAGTGCAGCATGGCCGGATTGGCTGCTAGCTCTTCTGGTTACTGCCTGCTTGGGCAGCGGTCGAACCAGACACTTTCTGTCTCTCTTGTTGTCGTTTGAAGCAAATCTTGTTCAGCCCAGCTGTGTCTCCATAGTAGTGGCACCCTAAGAGAGTCTCCCTCCTGCTTCCCACAGCTCATCTGTAAGGCGGTCGCTGCTGTGAAATACCAGCCTTTGGCACGGAGCCCAGACTGCGTTGTTAGATCCGTCTATAATACAGAAAAGAATTTTTTTTAAAGCAGTTCTTTCACCGAATTACATCCTAAGAAGGATTAATAAGCACTAAATTGCAACTGATTTGTGGACTTTTAAATTATGTAGCTAGCACACTTTCTGAAATAAAGCATTATCTGACCTGAAATAGCACAGCATCATTGGTTTAAAAAAAAAAAAAAAAAAAAAAAAAAAAAAAAAAAAAAGAATAAAAGAAAGGAAGAAAGAGAAGCAACAGCTCTTCTTTGTTTACCTTGATTACAAAAAAAAATTCTTCGTTTTTTTTTCCCCTAGAACGGTAACTGATATCTTGGTGCTATGAAAGAATATTTTAAACTATCGCCAGTTTTCTATTTACATCCAAGTCATTATTTTCTGGTTAAGACAAGGGATCTTAATTATCATTCTCTTTAACTATGCAAACTGAGACAGGGCATGAAAGAAAAATGCTGTATGGAAGAGACAGAGACAGAGTGAGAGAGAGGAAGAAGGAAAAAAAAAAAATCTGTGCAGCTTTTACAGTTCAGCTGTCTGACCCCCTGCAAAAAGAATGCAGTCATATCAACTTTGCCAGACAATGGAGTACCTACAGGCTTTCCTCTAGACAAGTCCTTTATAACCAGTCAGTATTATGTGCTGCAGACAGTGGCCAATCGCTAAGCTGCTTTCTACAGCAGTGACACAATAGGTGCACTGGCCACACTGTCCTCCTAGCCTCTGACAGCAGTTCAGGTTCATTTTTTGTACACTGGAATACACATATGTCTTTAATGTTTCCACTGTATGGAAAAAAAAAAAAATCAGCCCAAGCTTGCTTTGTTTTGCTATAATTACATCAGCCTAATTACTGCAGCCGAACTGCAGTGCCACTGCTCAGAGCGGCGCATAGGCATGCACGTCATATAAATATGCATGAGCACGCCTGCTTATTTAAATACAAAAATGCATCAATTGCTGGTGGTGCCTTTTTGGTTTTGTTTTCTGCAGGTCCTTCCTCCCCCCTCCAACACCCATTTCTGATAAACCAAGTGAGTTAAGGACGCCTAGGAAATACGGTCACCATTTTCCCCCTTTATTTATCCAAACTTTTATTCGTTCCGTTCTAATTGCAAGCATTCAGTAGGAACTAGAAAAAATTTCAAATGCAAATTAGTCTCAGTTAGTAAGGGGAAGGGTATTGCAGACCTAGGGCATTTTTCTCCCTTGTCACTAACCATCAGAGTAAGCGCCTGTAAATGAATCTGCGTGCACTCCATCATAGCCACGCATCAGATGCCCAGTTCTTATTAAAAACCCGATGATCCCCCAGCATGTGCACGCATCCAGCTTGTGTGTTTGGGTATTCTGTAATTACAGCATCTCTTGTAACAGTACCTGAATCCGCTCATATAGTCAAAAGATTAAATCATCACTATTCACGTATTAGACAGACATAATTGGGCACATTCTATAGTGGGAATCGCCATGCTAATTTTTCTGATTTTATGCATGAGATTTACATATTCATGAAGAGAATAGCTGTTATGACCGCCGACAGAGCAACATGAAAAGAAAAGACACCATTCTTCAGCACACAGAGTATACAAAACCTAGGGGAAAAGATGCAGCATATGGCGACAAGGAGAAGAAGTTGTTTGGCTTTCGAGGGTTATTTTATTTCCTATTTATAAATTCTGTGTAGACGGCTTACAAATACATGTAAGTATTTTGAACACGAAAGCAAAGTAAATCTGTGTTATTAGCAATCATCCACTGGTAGCTGAAATAAAATCGTTTTCCAGTTGGTGCCCAATGTTCTGCAAGTTTTGCCTTTGCATTAGAGACCATTTTCAGTTTATGGATGCTTAGGACATATTCATCCAGAAATGTGCAATAATACTAATGAATCAGAAAGGAACAGAAATTCCATCTGATGTTTAAAAAATCTTCGTTTCATATTCTAATGCCTGCTCTGAATTAGGGAACTATACTTTTCCCAGGAAAGGTGGTGTTCTTCATTACCATAGGTGTTTTTTTCCCAACTTATTAGAACTGCATGTTTTCCAAATCTGATAGAATATATCCTCTGAGTGACTTTCAGGTTCTATTGTTTTTTAAAGAAAAAAAATTCACCAGAGGAAAGATAATTCAGTCACTATCGTAAACACAGCACACGTTGATTTTTATAACAATTTCATATAAATAAATAAAAAACCCCACATTACGCTCACTGTAACCTTGTCCCTTTTATGCATTTAGTATCATTATTTTTAAATGTTTGTTTATCTCTCTGGTAGCTGCCACTCAAAACAGCACAAATTTCCTTATAATAGCCAGATAACATTACCTACAGATGTGTGATTTTCCCTACATTTTCCTACATTTGCTAAAGATAATACTACAGATAATAAGGTGAAAATATTTAATTTTCCAGTGGGAAAAGAAAAATTTTTATGCAATAGCCATATGTTTGACAGGCCTTGTTGTATATCAGTTTTCACAAAACACTGTATTCAGTACTAACACATAAGAACAAAAGAGCTTTTTTTTCCTTTACGTTTGTATACTATACACATCTTAAAACACAGTCCTTCAATGCAGTCATACAGTAACTTTTTTTTTCAGGACAGAAATTATATTATTTAAAAATATATATTTTAAAGGTGATAGACTTTTTTATAAGATATCCTTATAAATTTAATTAATGATACTGAATGTATATTTTTAAATAATCACAATAAATTGCTTTTGGTTCTCTAAAGCAGATTTTTTTTTTGGCAAAAGCAAAATAAACAGTAAAAAAAAATTTTAAACCCACTAATATTAACTAAAGCATATTTTTCAACCAGACTACTGTTATTGTCTCGTCAAAACAATAAGCTGCCAAATAGCTTCTTTGTGTTTGTCTCTATCTAAACTTCAAACTCCACCGACTCCACATTGTAAGCTAATTATTAATTTTTCCCTTTAGCTTAAATATCCAGGCTATGAAATCATGTAGCACTAAAATAAGCTTCATTGCTAAAAGGGAAGCCTTTAGAGAGCAGAACAGTGATACAATTTTTAAGGCATGAACCTTTTAAAAACCTTAGCATGGCCTTTATTCAAGGACCCCACTCCATAATGTCAAGTACGTTAGTGCTAATTCAAAGCTTTTTGTTAGAGGATAAAGTCTGAAAACTTCCAAGTATTCGTGGAAGAATTTGATGCAGTTTTGCTTAAAGAAAATATGTAAACTTAAGCACTGAGAGAGGAAAATGTTTCTTGTTTATATAAGCCATGAACCTGACAAACTTCAAGCACTATTGAAGTAAACAAATTTATGTACCTCTAAACATGGGCAGATTTTTGTCTTATTTTATAATCCCTACCATACTGCTTTTTTCTTCTTCTTTTTTTTTTTTTTTTTTTTTTATGTTTGTAACAATAGTATAAGTTAAGAAATTTCAGCAAAAAAGATGATCTGAATTATTACAGCTGGCATCAAATGAAATTGACGATAGTTAAAAAATATATCTATGCTTAGAGTAAGGTTTCTAATTCTAGAACTGCATCATGTATCATATCAGTTTTCTACACGGTAATTTCAATTGCTTTTTCTTTACAGATTATCATCTTTTGTTCTGTATTTTTATAGCATGTAGTACTATCACCCTCAGTCCCATATTCAAGTTCTTTTTAATTCCCAGAATATACCACACTATGTAAACAGCATTAGTTACAATGATATTTGGTGTATATATCTGCTACATCTTCAGCTTCTGAATTAGGGTCTGAATTTGCAAACAACACTCCGGCTCTGGCGTCCATGTTTAAACTCTGGTCCTGCTATAAGCTTCATTCCAGAAAATTACAACTTAACTGAAATTTAAGATCCTAAATAAGCACGTAGTCTGACTTTCAGAAGAGCCAGAAACCTGAAGCTCAATTACACACTACGGGAGCTCTCATTAACTAAACTGCCTTAATATGATGCATATGACAAACACTTTGCTTTCATAAAGGACCTGAGGCAAATATTGACCTGATCTTTTCCATTTTAGTAACTCTTACAGTCCTAAGTACTCTGATGATGGAATAGAGCTTTCTAGACTTGGGCTTGTAACTTTCCATGGAAAAGTAGCAGAGTTGAAAAATGTAGCATTCAATATTACTACTTAAATTTGTGGTAACACGAGACTAGTATTTGGGTTAATGTAAAATATCAGATCTGTAAAAAAAGTTGCCATAAAAAAGTTTATTTATCATCTAATAATCTGTATCTGGAGAAGTGCTAGAAACTTGGAAATTCATTGCCCAGGGCCTAACCAGTTTACTTGTAAACTACTCTGGCATTATGGCACCAACAAGAGACACACAGATTAAAATTCCCTGAAAGATTTCCACCATTGTATCTTTCAAGAAAATATTCAGCCAAACAACCCTATATGGAAATAGTGAGATGTAGTAATTTTTCTCCCTTTTCCAATTCAGATTTTACAGGAAATTTTGCTGGGCTACATACCAAATAAATACAGAGCCTATACTTTCAAAAACTTGATTCATAAAAGCAGATAAAGGTGCATTATTTGGGGGTAAAATCATAACCTGTTTACATGTAATGTTTCTTAAATCTTTTGGGGGATTTTTTTCATATATTTATTTATTTATTATTTAAAATAATGGAAGCAAATTTGCTTGACCCTTTAAATGTCACTGAGAACTCATATTTAGGAAAAATTTTAATTAATCTGTTTTAAGGATTATTTGCCTAAAGTCTTTGCCACTTAAAAGCATGTGCAGTTCCAGTAAAATTACCCCTTGAAGAAATTTATCTTAGAGTTATTTTAACCCTCATTTCCTACTGAGTTGCATCTTCCCCTTATTCAGAATTCATCCTTTCCTCAGGCTCTACATAGTTGTCCTAAAAAGGAAAAATTGAATGATACGCTTTTGACAGTAATTTAATTAAATTGATCATGCAGGCATGTAAACATATGATTAAGTGTCTTTTTCTCCTCAGTAGCTATAGTACTGTAAGCACTTCTACCTTGCAGTACCCCACCCACCATAAACCTAATTACACCTACCTCCCATTTATTTGGGAACAGGATACTTTGGGTGAAGTCACATTTGACCTGTTGTATGTTCTTAGCCTACGATAAACTATTGCTGTACCTGAGTTAATTGAACAAAACTGTCGATTTAACATAGTTTTCCTTCTTTTTCTTGCACATGCATTAAAGTAAACTTCATTAAATGTTCATTTCCAGTAGCAAACACTCTGGGCAAGTAGCAAAGCAACCACATACTTCCAAATGTTGTTTTATCTCAAGATGGAGTAAGTGGGTATATCTGAAGGCCAGTAAATGCGATGGTACTGCTGAAGGTTTGCATTACCAGAACCCAGAGACAAAGATAATAATTTTCAACTTTATTAGTCTCCTCATTCATGATGAGGTACCATCACTGTGAGAAG